TCAAATTATGTGAAAACCATTCTTTTCGAGATAGGGTTTGGGAAATTGCTGGAAATCAAGGAACTTAATTCTTTTAACAGGGCAGTTAATTAATGAAGCTCTCTGGTCTTGATTTTCTGCGTAATTGTCATAACAACCTATGATCAGGGATGATTTTTCAAAATGGTCAGTCTGTATCAACTCAGCTTCATAAGTCACAATTTAGAATACTGAAAATGAAAAAGAAAAGTTTCACAAGCTTATTTGAAGTTTCAACAGTGAGAGGTTTGCCTTTTAATGTTAAGCTAATAATTCCTACAAATCAGGCGGAAGTAAGAGTGAGGTAATCATTAATTCAATGATGCAATGCTAACTGATTTAATCTCTTCCAAATAGGTTCTGTAATATAAGCCAGGAGTCTGACTAAGGTAATATTATCTCCAGAAAGAAATCTGAGGGGCTGGCCGAGTGGCGCGTTGGTTAAGAGCCGGCTTGGGATGCCAGAGGGCCCCGGTTCGGATCCCACATATGAGGGCCAGTGACACTGCCCTCTACAGCTAAGATGCTGAACAACAGCTCAACCTGGAGCTGGGCTGCCGTGAGTCCCTGGCAACAGCATAGGCTGCAGGCCCTGCTGCAGTGGGTTGCCATGGGCTACCATGGGTTACCACCGTGTGTAGCCAGCAGCCAGCGTGAGCAGCCAGCAGCCGCAGTGAGCAGCTGTCCAGAAGCGGGCGACTGATCTGCCTCGCCCGGGAAGAGCGCAATGATGGTGCCAACTTGGGCCAGTGAAGCAACGTCCTCCACAACTAGACTGAAGAACAAAAGGACAGCAACTTGTCTGTTCTCCTTCCCCCAATTCCCCAGAACTGTTCCCATCCCCCAATTCCCCAATTTAAAAAAAAATATCTTAAAAAAGAAAAAAAAATATGAAGGGGAATAATGATGACTAACTTGTGACAGAGGCACAAGCAGGGAGCTTAAAGGTTTAGTAACTGTACATGCTTGATCTGAAAAAGTGAAAATCCCATCCATTTATGCATAGACACTGGGAAAGCACTTGCTAAATAGTGTTATTTTATGTACTGAAGTTAGTTATGTCTCTCTAGAGCCATGCTGTACAACAGAAACATAATATAAGCCACATATAAAGTGTTTCATTTTATAGTAGTCACATTTAAAAGGTAAAAAGAAATAAGTGAAATTAATTTTAATGATATATTTTATTTAACCTAATACATCCAAAATATTTCATTGAGATAATATATCATTAAAATATTTAATCAATATTAATTTTTAAATACTTATTTCAACAGGTAATCAATATCTAAAATATTAATGAGGAATTGTATTTTTTTTTGTACTGCCTTTGAAATCCAGTATGTAATTTCCATTTCAGCACCTCTCACTGTTAACTAGCCACACTTCATGTGCTCAATAGCCACATGTGGCTACTGGCTATTGTACTAGGCAGTGTAACCTTGTAACTTTAGACTCTGTTACCCAGATAAGTGTGTGTGTGTGTGTGTGTGTGTGTGTGTGTGTGTGTGTGCGCGCGCCTGTGCACATAGTGCTATTAGTGGTAACTCAGAAGTAATAAAAGACCTGGGATGTCTTTTGAATAACCAATTAAAGATAATTTTAAAAGTATAATTTTATAATCATTTATATATTTTGTGTTTAATTCTTTGAATACTGGTAATCTGTGGATAGAATATGATTAACTCTAGTAAGAGGGAATCATTCTTTGCAATGCCTTAATTTAGCAACAATCTGTGATCAAAGTTTCCTTTTGATGCAGAGTGCCTGAGTGGAAAGGCAACTGGACGTGTGGCAATCACTATGGTCTCTTCAGACATATAGTTTTCATGAATAAGTCCGGGCTTGGACCCTCCGGATGGGGGACTACCTTCCTTTGGTTCACAGAGGGAGGTACCAAGGGAGTGAGGGGAGAGACACTTCACTAAATTCACTTCACTAAAAGGGGTATCTTACTTTCAACATCTTGCATCCTGAACATTCTAGATAAATGGGCATTTGCTGCTCACTTCTGATTATGGTTACGTTGACTATACCATAGTATACGACAACATTATCCACAAAGATGGTGGGGGATGGGGGTAGGATATTGATCTCTTCTTTTGGGGGGTGTTGTCTGTTCGAATCAAACTTTGATCTGAAACTCTTATATTTAAAGACTAGTCCATATGGATAGTAATTTGAATTACATAGGAAATGGGCACCATTTTAAGAGATCTTTCAACTTCATCTCCTTGATAGCAAGTTAAGCCATCAAATGAAAGCAAACACCATAGTGACATGGCAATCATAGCTCAATTTTTAGTTATATAGTTTTTGGTTGAGCCAGCAATATTTTTCACTGTATGTCATTTCAACTGTTACCTTTTAATCTATACATTTAACTTTTTGTTTATTAATTGTCCCTATGTATTAACCTCAACCTGCTTATAACATACAGATATAGATTTCAGTAGAAAATAGAGATAAAAAGAAATAAACTATATTTTTAACGCCTTTTCTATGTCAGGTACTGAGCTAAGCATTTTCCATATATTATAGTCACATATATTGACACAAAAGCCATCTTCACAATCTATACAATTAGAAGATTGTGTATACACACACACACACACACACACACACACACATATTCCTTGAAACATCCTCATAAAGAGCACTACATAGTCCACAAACCTGAGCATACTTAAATGTCTTTAGTTACCAATTTATTATTTTCAGTGTTTCTTTTCTAGGTTTTATTCTCAATCCCTTATTTTACAGCATTAAATTACTTCTGAGTTTGTTCTGGATAGAGACACAATTTCTTTACAAAAGGGAGAGAAGCTACATTGTTTAAAATGTTATATAGAAAATAACTTCAGTCAACTCTTATGCAAATACTCAAAGCTAGTACTACAGCTATTAGTATTTCAAGCAGTGATTGAATAGAAATCTTGTCTTCCTTTTTTTGCCTTTCATCTCAGTAAGTACTTTTATTGACCAAAATTTTAAAAGTTAAAAATATCACTTTGGCTTGTCATTTGTTATTACTTCCTTATTCACCAATCAGCTTGATAACAATCAAACTTTCACTTTGCTTTTACTCACTCATCCATCCAATAAATCTTCACTTAATTTGTAGTTGCCGCACATCTACCATGTGCTCATTTCTCTGAGGATATTTCTGTAGACAACCCCTATGCTCCACGTGCCTAAAGAATTTAGGTATTCCTTCAGTTTTGAGAGGCATTATAATCTTAAGTTTTACATAATACTATGACATGATCTTTCCAATTAAAATACAAACATCTAGAAATAGATTCAGTGCCCTTCCAGACAGGAAGTAGATGCTGAATACCAGTATTTATAATGTCATAGATCAGGAAACTAGGACAGGACAACAAAAATAAATTTTTCCCTCCTGAGACCTTGTCAAGATCCTCTGACAGATCAAGGTTGCCTGCTCCACTCCCTAATTTTTTACCCCACAACTCGCTTATGCAATGAAAATCATGTTTCACAGAATTATTCTAAATGGCTAGCTCTGTGAATGTATTATGTTTTCCTAGTCTGCCTTTTGGGATGGACAGTGCTTATGACAGGCTGGGGCTTATTCTACATGTTATAGACAACTCCTGGATTTTGATGGATGCTCTCTGAGTTAAAAATAAAAATCCCATTATGTTCACACTCTATTGGAATTCATCCTAAATGAAGCAAACCAGCTTCCTAGTTTGAGAAAAACCAAAGACTGCTATATTAAAAAAAAAAAGGTTAGAGATGTAGTAATAGTTTATCTCAAAATTCTATTGACAGCAAAAATAAATATGAAAAGGGTACCCATTGTATACCTTTTATTTACCATTTACAGATGACTCATCAGCTAGGCAGACAACATATTGGACTCTTAATTTTATTTATATTGAAGATGCATAAAAGGAAAGGACTTGAACTTTGGACCCAAGCCCACCTGACTTTGACTTGGGGTCCCATCTTCCACTCACTAGTTGAATAACCATTAGAAACAAGGACTTGCAACCCTCTGAGTCACAGAGTCCTTATGTGTTAAGTAGGAACAACGCCAACCATGACTCAGTGGTGCTTTGAGAGAGAGAGAGAGAGAGAGAGAGAGAGAGAGAGAGAGAGAGAGAGAGAGAGAGAGAAAGCAACATATATAGCAGCGCCTAACAGTGTTTTTAACAAGATAGGTGTGAATTAATATTAGTTCCCCTTTTTTCCCCCTTGTGTCTGTGCAAAGCAAATTTGCTTTGACTCTGAAACATGAACTTTCCTCCTTTCCCCTGTCAGGACACATTTTTCAAGTTGTCACAAATCTAAGAAGAGACATTTAGAAATGACTTCAAATAGAGGTAACCATTTAACATAAGAGTTTTTGGAAAGAAAAATTAATAATTATGTGTTAAGCCTCATTTTAATTATATTAGCAATAGAGATGCCAATTTTTCCTGTGCTCTTCTTTTACACTTCATATGCTAAGTAAAGCTATATCATTTTCTTTTTTAAAAAGCCCTTAGGCTAAATGACAGGATAAGGGATCAATTCCAACTGCTATTCCTGATCTGCCTTAGTCTGCTCTCTTTAACAAGCTGGTAGGTCAAAGATGGAAATAAAATTCTTAAGTCCTGGCTTGGTTGTATCCTGTCCTTAATATGCTGAGACTTTAAAATGTGTTTTACACATGGTGGTGGTGGTGGGGGGGGCGAGGCGTGAAAAGAAGGTATAAGAAATTTTCTTCTACATCGTTTTTTGTCAGAGTACTATGTTCATCAGCAAAATGGAGTAAAATATTGACAGAAAGAAGGGGACCACTTTCATGTTAATAAGTAAAGATGGTGTGGAGTTAAAAGTGAGAATCATTCTTTTTAAACTAGAAGTAATATGCAACACTAGTTTTTCCAGGACTCATGCTACTGTGGAGACCACAAGTGGGGTGGAGGGGTGGGAAGGGTCACTTGTTTCTGGTCCCAGATCCAACTCACCCAGCTGGAGTTGTTCGCACGTCCGGTTTGGATTCTTTCCGATCCTGCATCTGTAAATCGCCCCGGGATTGACCACAGAAGCATTGGAGAGCCAGTTGGCCGTGGGAGCCCCCACTACGAGCCTATGGCGAGAAATGTGCACGTGCGCGCAGACGTGAGCTATGCTGCTCACAGAAATCTTGGTCACAACAAACGTGCAGTTGGCAGCGGGCCCGCTCCCCTCACCTCCTCCTCCGCCCACTACCCCACACGCATCCATCCCACCTGCCACCCCTAACTCGCAGCTCCAGGGCCTTGCGCCAGAACGCACCCCAAGCAAGGCCATCCCAAGATAAGTTCGTTTCCTGAGCAGACCTCCGGCGCGCCTGTCGTCGCAGTGTTCCCCTTCTGCCTCCTTCAGAGACAGGAGAGTATGAACGGGGCAGGGAGTCCCCGAGGCACCCTTCAGTCCCCGCTCCGCGATGCCAAGAGTGCCCCAGGCTGACTCCACTCACCATCGGTTCGCCCCGTGGCTGTGCAGCACTACAGAGTAGCCGAACAGGGTGTCGGGGGGGCCCTGGTAGAGCAGCGCGCTCTCTGTGTCCACGTTGTAGGGGCGGCCGGTGGGGACCCCCAGCCACAGCAGCAGCATCACCGCCTCCCGGACGGCGGCACTTCGGGGCCCCGGTCCGCGCCTCTCTTCCCCAGCCATGTGTTCTCGGAGGGGCACATTCAACTCTAAACCGCACTGTCCGGAAGTTGTGCGGGATGAGGCATGAGACCGACAGCCAAGGGGAAGAGCGCCCCAAGAGAGGGCGCACAGCGTGTCCCGCACCAGCCGGCAGGAGGGAGAGGAAGGGAGGGAAGGAAGGAGGGAGGGAGGGAGGGAGGGACCGACAGAGGGAGGGAATTCGGTCGCTGCGGGCGGAGCAATGGGGCTGGCCCGGAGGTAGCGCGCCCTACTGCCCCCACTCCTGGTCTCGGCAGCAGGGAGGTGCGTGCTCTGTGGTTCCAGGCGTGGGCCCCAGGGTGGGGGTACAGGGCGTGGTGCAGAAAAGACTTAGTGCGATCCGCCCCCGCGCAGCTGTAGGGGGCGCTGGGGGACCTCTGCTGCTCAGGACTGTCTGTGCAGGCCAGGGGTTTCACAGCCCCCCGCGGAAGTTAGTATGATTCGGGGCTCACCGGGCTTTACAAGAGTGGAACTGGAAGGAGCACGGGCTTCGCCTTTTAAAACTGGTTGGGGCCTGGATGCGGAGCGGCGTGGCCCCAACTCAATCCTCGGGGGACGCACTTTGAGCTCAGAGGCTCCACGGCCTGCCCCGTGTCACCCAAAGGCCAGCCACAAACCCAGGAACCAGGACCGCAGCAGGGAACCGTCCAGATCTGTTGCTGATAGCTATGCGATCTGATTTTGGGGGCAATAACAACCGCTAGAGAATAATTCAGAGGGCCACAGGTTAAAAATGAAAAGAAGTCCTAAAGGCGCCCCAAGTAGTTTGGTGCAAAGACTGTTTACTTCAAGGCTCAGAACCCTGTGCCTTTGTGTGCCCACTTCCTTCCTCCTCACACTTACTCAAGTTCTGGGTTTGTACCACTCTGGCTGAATGGCATGCAGGTCTAGGCTGTTGGGAGTTTAACAGCGAGGCTGGGTTAAGAAAGCAGTGAGACTTGCCCCACTTTAATAAAGAACCGGGTTCTTACTGCTCCCTCTTTTTATGCATACACGACTTTGCCACCTGATACCCAGTGTGAGGTCAAGAGACAGACACCATAATAAGCCTTGGAAGATGCGCTGGAGACCCACAGCCCAGCACACTGGTGCTGGGGTTTAGTCTCATTCTAATACAATCCTTACGTGCCTCAAATTTCTTTTTTTGAGCAACCAGAGAGACAGCTGAAGACGACTAGACTGATATTTGCAGGAGATGGAAGTCCAGTTATTAATTATTACTATGTGAAAAAATAAAGAAAAGGGGTTTATCAAAGGGGGTGTGTGTGCGGGCGCTCGGGTGCGCTCATTTGCTCACTTTAAAACCACACTGAAATTAGCACATCTTGAATTGCAATGGCAGACATATCACTAAAATATTTGTTCATTATTGAGTTGGTACTTTGCAAGCCCCACAAGATACCACCATGAGCAAGGCAGGACAGGCCTTCAGGAAAAAATTTCAGCCAAATGGTAGACAGACACATTTTGTTAACTCAAGAACGTTCTGAAGGCTCTAGGGACACTTACAGAGAGGTATGAAGGACAAGGAGGATTGACTTAGGCTAAGTGGTTTGAGGAGAAGAACAAGGGCCAGCTCCAGCAAGGCCAGGTAAAGGAACTGGAAGAGGTGGTCTTGGTGGAGCGTTTAGTTGTTCACACACAGGTTAGTATGATACCAGGCCAATAAGGGAATCAAGGACACATCACGAGCCTCCTAAGCCAGGTTAGAAAATTTAAACTATATGCTGAGGTTGGTAGGAAACTGGTGAAAGATTTGTCTTGGACAGCTGTGGGGCTCAGAAGTGTGAAGAAAAGACTGAAGACAGAAAACCTAATTTTGGAGGCTCCTGCAGTAATGAGTAGGGAGATGATGGTGGCCTGAATTAGGAAGTAGTAGAGGAGGAATAGAGGAAATAGATTCAAGAGGTATGAGAGACAGAACCCGCTAGAATTTGGTGATAGTATTAATAGATACAAATATGGAGCTGAGATGAAGGAGTTAGGATAATGCCCAAGTTTCGAGTTTGGGATCTGGGTATATGGTGGTAATTTACAGAGAAAAACACACTGGAGGAATGAGGCTATTCATGTATGTATGAGCACAAATGGGCACACCCATGGGGTGCTGATGAGTTAAGTTTTAGACGTGTGGTTTGAGATATTTGTGGAGTAGTAAGCTATTCTAGCCAAATTCAACCCAATATTTTTTATTTTTTATTTTTTTGTCAACAGACAAAACAAGAAGAATATTATCATTTGCAACAAAGTGAAAGGCAAACATTGGTGTGTGATAAAGCTGTTGTAAAAATAAAAGGGCTTTTAGAAAAGTAGCGATCAGAGCCCAGGCTGAATGACCCTGCTCTGCTTTTCTATTCAGAAAGTATTTCTCTCTGAGTAGATCTGCATGCTGATTTCAACCAACTTCTACAACTAGCTCACATTGTCATCATTCTGCAATAAACAACCTCTCTTGTTTGCAGCCACAACATTTTCAGTTGAGGCTCAGTAAGCAGATGTATCAAAGGCATTTCCACACTTCCAGAACCTGGCAATGTCAGAGCCACTTATGTGAACCCATACTATTGCTTTCCCTTCATCAAGATCTCATATGATGAAATCCACTCAACACAATTCTTTTCCGAGCATAATTAATATGAGTAGGGGCCAGTAGAGCATTTAATGGGGCAGGATCTTATTTCTATGATTGTAGTTATAGTTATTACTTCATCACCTCTCCAAAAACAGCCACCCTTCCCGACCTCGCACACTGTGTTAACCCCAAGTTTCCTTCCTCCAAGCCTTAGAGAACATTCCACTTTTCCTAAGTCAGCAGAAAAAAAGGGTGTTTCATGTTGCTTTGACAAAGTCTGAAGATACTGCCATGTCTCTAATCTATGCTTTTATAGGCAAGTGTGAGAACAAGGTTGGGAGAGAGCACATAGAGTGGGGAGAAGAAGATTGCAAAAAACTACTTACGCCTCAACTGAAATGAAATATTAAGTCATTCAATTAATTAATGTATCATTTGATTAATATGTATCAAGTGCCCACTGTGTGCTGGGAGCTGTCTTAAGGATTCAAATATGAGTAAAAGACAAAATACAAGTAAGTGCTCTCTATCCTAGGTAAGAAGTCCTCCCCAGTAGAGAGAATTGTAATATGGGCTCAACCAACTTAGTTGTTAGCAAGAGTGAGCATTTCTCCATCTTGAAAGCCTTTCTTTTTGTGATAGTATTTTTTAAAGCTATTTTTCCCATTTCTATCTGGCTATTCTGGGTCTTTTTGCTGGCGTCTTTTCCTCCATCAGTGTTGGAAAGCCCGAGGCCTCTGTCCTGGGCCCTCTTTCCTTCTCTCCCCATCTCTATCTTAGGAGATCTAACCCATTTCCTATGTCTTTAAATACCAGCTAAAGAATACCACTATATACTTGTGCCACCCTGAGTCCCCAAATCATGTCTCCAGCCTGGACCTCTCTCCTGAGCTTCAAGTTGACATGTTTTACTGTCTACCTCACATCTCTACCTGGATATCTAGTGGGCACTGTGCACATAACATATCTAAATCTGAGTACTGTTTTTTTCACGCTGCATCTAAACAATTCCTCCACTGAATCTCTTTCTTTCAAGAAAATATCACTCCATCTGGCCTGTTGTTCAGTTCAGAAATTTGAAAAACAATCCTTGATTCCTCCCTCTCTCTATTCCCCACACCTAATCTATGAATCATTAAGTTTTATCAATTTGGCCCTTGAAATACATTTCAGGCACATCTGTTTATCCTCCTTTGTCCTGCTACAACCCTTTTCCAAACTGCAATAATCTCACCTGAGCTGTTCAAGAATCTATCACCTGGACTCCCTGTTTGTTCCTCCCCACACCATCAGTTTTCTACACAGAAGCTAAAGTGAACTTCTAAAATTCTAAATCAAATCATGTGTGCCACTCCCTGGCTTACACCCTTTAGTTTCCCATTGCTCTTCCAGGAAAAACCACACTGATTGTGGTCCAAAAGAGCCCTGCTATGATCTGGTCTCTGGCTACTTGGCCAGCTCTCCAGTGGCCATGTCCCCCAGGATCACTTTGCTTTTGTCACATCGACCTTCTTTACTTTCTTTAGGTACATCAAGGTTTTTTTTACCCTTATGACCTTTGTCTATCTGCTCCCTCTGCCTGGACACACAATCTCTGACTTTTCACATGATTCCTCTCTTTCTTCAGGCTCAGCTTAAAGGTCTCCTCACAGAAGATTTTTCTGCTCATCCACTTAAAATAGGCCATTGCAGACAATCTAGTCATTGTCTTCAGAGCTCTTTAATTTACATAGTCATATATGTGTTTACCTTTTCATTTTGTCTTCCACTCTAGAATATGAGAGAAGAACAATGTGTTATGTTGTTATTGGTGTTCACCACTATGTCTCCAGCACCCCATATACTACCTGGCAGACAGCAGGTGGTGAATAAGTATTTTTCTGAATGGCCCTTAAATGATTGGGACTTTGAAATTATTAATATCAGAAACTGAGAGAAACCTGGATATTTTATAAATTTATGTTCACATATTATTACATGCAAAACATTGTGGTAAGCCCATTGGCAAATTCAAAGATGTATAAACATGGATCCTACCCTCAAACAGTGTATAATTTACAAACAGAGAGATATGATATGCCTTAGAGGACCAGTGAATATAGTCAAATGTGAATGCTGGGCTGACTGAGTGGCGCGTTGGTTAAGAGCTGGTTTGGGATGCCAGAGAGCCCCGGTTCAGATCCCACATGAGGGCCAGAGACACTGCCCTCTACAGCTAAGATGCTGAACAACAACTCAACCTGGAGTTGGGCTGCCATGAGTTGCTGGCGTGGCATAGGCTGCAGCCCCTGCTGCAGTGGGTTGCCATGGGCTACTGTGTGTAGCCAGCAGCCAGCAGCCACTGTGAGCGGCTGTCCAGAAGCTGGCAACTGATCTGCCTCGCCCGGGAAGAGCGCAATGATGGTGCCAACTTGGGCCAGTGAAGCAGGATCCTCCACAACTAGACTGAAGAACAAAACGACAAAACGACAGCAACTTGTCTGTTCCCTTTCCCCCAATTCTCCAGCACTGTTCCCATCCCCCAATTCCCCAATTTAAAAAAAAATCTTAAAAAAAAAACAAAAAAACAAATGTGAATGCTGTATACATTGGGGAGAGAAGAGACAGTTGGTTGCTAACCAGTGGTGTAGGCATAAAGGGAAATCTTGAAACCTGAATTTCAAGTTGAAACCTGAATTTCAAGTTCCTTGAAAAAGGAACAGGTTCTTTTTCGTTGACTAGTGTTTTACAATTGCCTTCCATAGGACTCATTTCCCCTTGCACTCTTATATTTGTGGTTTTCTGGTAAATTACCAAAAAAGAAAAGAAAAAATTAATTGCACTTGTAAGGATCTTCACAATTTACAAAATACATTTTCCAAGTTGCACTAAAGTAGACGTGAAGTAATTATCAGTAAAGATTGAGATCCCAAGGGTATAGTATAGTTTAAAAGCAAATGACACAAAATGCACCATGGTGGCCAAAACTACATATTTAAATGAAAAAAACAAACAAACAAATAAATATGTGGACAAGATTTTCCTCGTAGGCTTAATCTGGAAATTATTCTTTTCATCAATAAGTGAGCAAGTATGCCCAGTGCTGCAATACTCAGACAAAATGTCCAAAAACAAAACAAAACAAAAAACCCAGCTAGACAAGGAATAAGGAAAGCTGCAAAGATGATTTTGTAGTATAGTTGGAGAACACTAGAACCTTTATTAATGGAGACTGAGCTTTGAATAATTATATGTGAAAGATTGAGATGCCCGTATATCCAAAATTAACTATTCTAATAAAGGGAAGTACCACCCCAGGTCCCATTAATGTGACACAAGTACAAACTGGGGCATGAAGGTATAGGATGTACAGAAACCAGGTCAAGAAAATAGATAAGAAACAACACTGACCATGCTAGCAACAATTTCCTTGGCCACAACTGAGTAAAGGTTATTACTGATTCTTTAGGGTAGAGAGATTGAAAATTAATATCAGAAATCTACAAGCCAGCTGAATTTTTTAAGTTAATAGTATTAAAAGTCACACATAGTTCACATTCCTCTGTGAGTTTAGTTAATCCTAGTTGATGCTTTTATTACTAGTACAAAGTATTAAGATACCAGTGTTAATTATATACAGAGTTCTGGTCTAGAAGCATCTCAACTAAAAATTGCA